GTGACCTCTGGATTAGATCGGAATATAGCTTTTCAGGGCTTTGGAATCGATGTCATTGGCCCCAATCGTGAAGATATCAATAGGAAGGGGGCTCGCATGCTAAAGAAAGCGACCGAGAAAATTTTGGAATAAAAATTCTTCATCCAAATCAGAAGATATCGGTGAATGGGTATAGTTATTGTCGATTGGGAATGATATCACTCTAAATTATTCGAAATTTCAGAGAAAGAAATAAGTATTGGATATTCAAAAGAAACTTATAGAGGAAGGGAGAGAGTCGTAATAAGAGAATAAAATATTTATTGAGAAGAGAGATGAGATGAGGGGGTTAAGCACGCTTAGGGGAAGAGACAGGAGAGTAAGAGGGAGCCAGGAAATCTGACAATGGAAGGGATAGAAGTGTTCCTCTTCGATTTTCATGAGTTTTGGATATGTTGTACTTTAGGTTAAAATAAAAGAAACATATTTTTTATTTATTTGTTAATAGTCAAGAAGATGAAACACTCTTTTGAAAAAATCGGTTTTTATATTTCTGTAGTGACAGACTTCATAGACAGATCATGATCTTTTCTTGTTTGATATCCATTTCTAATTCAAGACCACAAACGAGCCTCGAATTAGAGCTAACGCGCCGTGGGACCTATACGGTTTGTCATAGTTCGTTGCTTGCTAATTCGTGGGGCAAACATATTGGTAAGCCTAAGCAAGCCACGAGTTGTGACAAACCACATGCCGTGAGATTTTGGCTTATGAGTGTAAAAAGATGTATCATTAATATATAAGACATTATACAGTGCCTACCAAAAGTTTCAGGCCACCTAAATAATTTTTGAATGGTTTGAAATATAGAATTGAAATTTATAGGGATACAATGGGATCACAAAGTCTATTATTTAACCACAAAAACACCCACCCTTACACCCGCGGGGGACGGGCTGAGCCAAAAAATCTTAAATGGCATGTGGAGTTGAGTGAGGGCTCGTTCGAAAGGGCTTTCCGAGACGAAAACAACGCGAGGTCGCTGAGGTCTCTACGATTTTTTTTCGCAGAGTTATGATCATTTGAACATTTCTATTGAGATTTTGCGATAGCGAGGGCCCATGGCGACAACAGAAGAAAGATAGGGCTTCACGCGGCCACGTGCGTTCCTGTGTGTGTGTGTGTG